ATATATATATATATATATATAAACATATATTTGTTTATTTGTTTATTTTTATAAAACATATATATGTTTATATATTTATATATATATATATGTCTGTGTATAAATATATAAATATATATATATATATTTAAATATATACATTTACTTTGTAAATATATATATTGTGTGTATACACACACACACACACACACATATACTTATAAAATACAAATCTCAAAATCAATTCTATCAGAGTTAAAACAAAGTTAAAAAAGTCATAAATTTGGACATAAATCTAAAGTTTAAATGGTTGAAATTTCATATGATACATAATGTTCCAACTATTACAAACTCACCATAAACATATATGTATTCAATAATGTTGACAGAAGAAGCTGCTTAAAAATATTTTACATGTTTCCTCAGGGAGAAAAAACCCAAAGTAATCCTGTAAAAATAATTGAAATCATTTATCTTCCCTTCATGACCTAAAACAAAAAAAATACCCCCACCCCCCCTCACAAAATCTGTCTCTTTAAATACCAACTTTACTGAATTATCTTCCTGATCACAATAAGTCTTGTAGTGTAATACATGTTAAAATATTCGTTTTACTAATATTCTCAGTATTTTATTATCTTCTTCTGCTTCTATTAAAACTAATGTGCACAGAAAGAAACTAAACATGTTTTCCTTTCCCCCCTTAACAATTATTAAAGTATTTAAAAATATTTTTTAGTGTTTCTAGAAGTGTTTTAACCATGTTTCTATTATATATGGAGAATTCTTTACGAGCTTTAAATTTTGTAAAGGTGGCAACATGAGAGTCGGGAACAGAAAATGTCAACGACATTTAACAAATATCTTTCACAAGAGAGGAAACGTTCTGAGAAACATTAAAAAAAGACTAAAATAATTCATATTTTCACAGATAAATATCTGTTTGTTTTATGCTCCTATATTATTATTGTTTATGAATAAAACTGTTAATAATAAAACATCTGTTCATATGTTGGGCCTGACAAACAGCCGGCCTGCAGTGAACTGATTATTATAAACAAGCAACTGATTGAAATCACACAGATGTAGATAATGTGTTGCGTCGTGTGCAACCTTGATTTTGTAATTTACAATAATACAAATACTAGAATATTGGATTTTAATACTCTCAGTGATTGCTCAAAAATAAAACTAGGATGTTCTCCTAAAAGTTCTGAGTACATTTGTGTTAAAAGGAGCTGAAATGTTTGATTCGATGTTAAATCTCGTTAAGTTTAATATTGTGCCTAAAGGGAAAGATGACGATGATGGTGCTGATGATGAGGGTTTGTGTTTTGCGGGCCACAGCTGGACACCGCAGGCCCACTGTGGAGGCTTTTTGCGGGTCTTAAACTCCTTTTCATTACCACTCAAATTACAACGAGTACAAAGAGTTCAGGCCTTTTAATGGTCAAGCCCCCCCCCACCCCCCCCACCAAAAACATATTATTATCCTATCTGGATTTTTAAGCTTATTTCAGTGATATTTAAAACAATCAGTTTGTCTGCAAAGATCTTTTCTGAAACACCCCACAGGATAATCACATTTAACCGATATATTTCTGAAAAACAGATGGAAAATAGATTTTAAATTTTATGCTGATACACTGAATTCAGCCAGAATGGGCCAAACAGTAACTTCTATAAAACATATTTGTTTGTATTTTAATATTTTAATCTAAAACAATTTTTCAAAACATAAAAAAAATAATAATTTTGTTTATCATCAGTTTTCAGGTAAAAACGCTGTAAAAACCTTTAAACGGATCAAAAGTATTTCCCTTTAAAAATACAAGTATGCACTTTTTAAAAGATGAACTAGGGACTTTAAGTTCAATAAGATAAAATCAAGGCATTTGTTTGAGGAATTGTAAAAACTTCTAATGTTTTTCATTTAGTTCAGTGTTCATTTTTGACCATTTTAACTCATTTTTAAGATAATCTGCCCAAATGTTAAATTTCAGGTGTTTTTGTCTGAAGGTTTTAGTCAAACTCTTTTACTTTAATTAACATTAAATGTTTTATGTGGGTCAGCCTACCCGTGTCCTCCAGTCGGGACTGTCCCAGTCCTCCGTGCTGATAGGTCAGATAAGTCCCGGGATGGTGCGCGCTCACGGGCGCGTGGTAGGCCGGGTATCCCATAGAGCGGCCGTAGGAGGAGGCTCCGGCAGAGAAGGGCCCGTCATGCTGCGGGGCCCCCATGTGGTGCAGACCGTGCACCGGGTACTGGCCGTGACTCAGGCCCGGGGAGGGCTGCTGGTGTCCCGGGTAGCCGAACTCCAAAAACGCCGACTTGGACCCGTCGGTCGGGACTAAGTTGTCCGGCATGGAGCTCATAGTCCTCTCTGAGGGGAGGGGGTGTAAAATAAAGGGTGTCCTCTCACCTCCACACGGGGGGCATCCTAAAACCAGCCGCGGTGAACCGGAGTCTGCAGGCTGCCCAACACCGTGCGTCACTCAGCAGAGGACTCTAACCACTGAGAGGAAGCGTCGGGTCCATGAAGGTTCTGATCCAGCAGACACACGGGTTCATCAGCCCGGCAGCACGCAGCGGTACCGGACCCACTTACAGAACCAGCACATGGACTGCAGGGGTGAAAACCCTCACCCACTGTGAACTTCTGCTCTCCTTCCAAGCTTTGCAGACTGACGCGAGTTATACTGCTCTTCAGGGTTGCCAGATAGGAAATGACGAAATGTCGTCCTGCGGGGCTCGTTTTCCCATTCAGAGTGTCTGTGAGCTGAATGTAGGTGCGCTCCGGCTTTGTGTCTCAGGGGTGGAGATGAGCATAAAGAAGAGTTTCAGCCTGACACACGGTGTGGCTGGTCGGACCGGACGAAATGAGATGTGGGTGTTCACCTGAAGAAAAACAAGATCCACCCATTGTCTTTACCCGCTTCTTCCTTTTTGGGTCGAGGGGGTCACTGGTGCCCATGTCCAGCAGTCACTATGTGAGAGGTGGGGGACACACTGGACAGGTCTCCAGTCCATCACAGGGACACATGGAGACAAACAACCATTCGCTCTCTCACTCACACCTACAATTTAGAGTTACCAATCAGTCTAACATGCATGTTTTAGATCTGTGGGAGGAAACCAGAGTACCCAGAGAAAACCCACGCAGCACGGAGAGAACATGCAAACTCCACCCAGAAAGGTCCCGGGCCAGGATTAGATCCAGCGACCTTCTCGCTGAGAGGCAGCAGCCACCAACTGAGCCACTGTGCTGCCTAAAACAAGATTTATTCATTCATTTTTTTATTCATTCATTGATTTATTTATTTATGTTGTCTAAAACCAAGTTGATGGAGGATCCGCAGCTTCCTTAGACACATACCGTTACTAACTGCCATGTTTCTGTTCAGTGCCCTGAGATGACTCCTGTTGTGACTTGGCCTCATATAAATAAACTGAATTAAATTGTACAGTTTTAAGACCTTAACATATCTGGCAACGCTGCAGTTCTCTTCCTCGGAGCGTCACGTGCACGTTCGCGCGCACTCACACGACGCAGGACATCCCGGGATGAGAGGATGGCTGACACATTATCGCAAAATCTGAGCTGGTGGATTAAGACAAAGCTCATGTAAATAAATAGTAATTACAGGGACCATTTTGTTTTATAATTTAAAAGATCTTCTTCTTTCTGCTTTCCTCTCTTCAGGGTCTCCACAGTGTCACCCTCCTCCATCTCTGTCCTCTGCATCCTCTGTCCTCACTCCATGTCCTCTCTAACTGCATCCATATGTCTCCTCTTTGTCTTTTTCCTGGTTTCTAACATCATTCTACCAATATACCCACTGTCCCTCTTCTGGACATGCCCAAACCACTGTCCTTCCTCTGGACATGTCCAAACCACTGTCCCTCCTCTGGACATGTCCGAACCACGGTCCCTCCTCTGGACATGTCCAAACCACTGTCCCTCCTCTGGACATGTCCGAACCACTGTCCCTCCTCTGGACATGTCCAAACCACTGTCCCTCCTCTGGACATGTCCAAACCACCGTCCCTCCTCTGGACATGTCCAAACCATCACAGTCTGGTCTCTTAAGCCCCAAGGAGTTTCCTTGAAGTCCCTGCTCAAAAATACCACGCCCAAATAAAATTGTGTGTTGTTCAATGACAAACTTTGTTTAAACATTCGTGGTATCTAAATAAAGCTAACTCCTGGTAGATGTCATCAGAGGTGTAGCATCACAGCTACACAAAATGAGGATGGAACATGTTCAGTGTTCAGAGCACTGAGGTGACTTGTTGTGACTTGGTGCTATATAAATGAAATGAATTGAACTGAATTGATATCCTGATGCATGCTCAATAATCCAGGTAGAAAAATCCACAAAAGTTCAATCTGGTCCTCTGGACATTCAAAAAAACAAAAAACAAAACAAAGCAAAAAAAATGTAGATACGTTTCGTCTTTCATCCAAAAGACTTCCTCAGTCTTAAATTGAATTGAATTGAATATAGGGGGAAAACACAGGATTTGGGGGCTTTTTTGATTTACAGAGTATAGAGCCCCTTTGAAAAGATGACAATGAAAGTTAAAAACTCTTGTAAAGTTTGAGTCCACATGTGGACATTTGGTGCAAAGACTTGTGATGATGAAGTGAACTGTAGCAAAGTTACAGAAGTTTTTGTAAAGAAACAGCCAGGAGTCACAGACATTTACACCTCATGATGCAGGAAGAGGGCCACCTGCATCATGAAGGACCCCACTCACCCAGCACACACACTTTTTGCCCCGCTCCCCTCAGGAAGGACGTTAAGGAGCATTAAGTGTAGAACCACTAGACTGAGGAACATCTTCTACCCTGAAGCAGTTAAGCCCCCAGTATACTCCTGCGAAAGTACGTCCGCGCGGAGGTATACGCGTACATACGCAGAGGGTTCAGACTTGATACTTGAGCGAACACCCTGAGTGGCTGCAGAGCAGCTTCGCAGACAAGGGGTGTTTACCTTCGGGATAAATTGAGGTCGCTGATTGGTCATTTGCTGACACGCCTACTGGATTGATTGACAGGTTGGGAAAAAGAAAAAAACGAGAGCTGGCAGCCCCAGCTACACCCAGCGTTGTTCTGTGTTTATATGTTGTTAATAAAAAGTTGTTGTTTTTTCATTTTAAAAAACAGGGAGCGCTGGCCCTGCAGCCCACACATCAGATCAGCCCAACAGGAAATCTCCAGACCCTCCTGCAGTCACGCTGGGACTGATTTTAATTTGCTCGTGACAAATTCCTTAATTTCTCACCATTTCCGTCATGGCATCAAAAGAGGAGGAAGAGATCACTTGCCTTTTGGCAAAAAACAAAAACAAAATAAAAGGCCAGATCAGTGATGAAAGAGAGGGATTTAATACATTGGTGTCATGTAGGAGGAACCCAGACCCAGATCAGTGGTCATTCCATATGTTGAGGGAGTATCAGAGAAACTGAGACGTTTATTTTCTAAACATAACGTCCCAGTGGCTTTTAAACCCCAAAATACATTACGGCAAAGACTGGTTCATCCCAAAGATCCAGTCCCCCGGCACAAACAGAGTAATGTTGTGTATGCTGTTCAGTGTCAGGAGGGTGATCAGTCTTACATCGGGGAAACAAAACAGCCACTGGCCAAAAGGATGGACCAGCACAGAAGATCAACATCATCAGGCCAGGATTCTGCGGTCTACACTCATCTCCAGGCCAGCGGTCACTCTTTCAGGGATGAAGATGTTCACATCCTGGACAGAGAGGAACGATGGTTTGAGAGAGGAGTAAAGGAGGCCATCTTTGTGAAAAGAAACCGTCCATCATTAAACAGGGGTGGAGGCCTCCGGGTTCAACTGTCCCCCTCTTACAATGCTGTGATTGCTAGTATCACTCAGCCCTCTGTGAATAGTAAACAGCCATCAGGTGCTAATGATCCATTGTTAGGCTGATGGTCCTTCTTGAGCATGTGATCAGCTGGTTTTGGTTGTCAGCAGCAAAACTGGTTGATCCACTCTGAGAAGGTGCTATTTAAGAGACTGAGCTGAATACAACTCCTCAGACTGAGGAAGTCTCTTGGATGAGAGACGAAACGTTTCTACATTTTTTTGTTGATTTGCTTTGTTTTATTTTTTTGAATGTCCAGAGGACCAGATTGAACTTTTTTAGATTTTTCTACCTGGATTATTGAGCATGCATCAGGATACATTGGTGTCACTTACAAAACAGTCCGTCACCGGGCAGTTTATTGTGCGACACTGCATACATGTACACGGTCGTAAAAATTGAGATTTGTGCGGATATGCCCTGCGTACGTATGCGCGTACCTCTGCGTACCGATGTACGCGGGAGTATACCGGGGGCTTTAGACTCATAAATCTCTAACCAGGATAATCATTGTAATGGTACTTTGATTGGTGGTATGTGACTTTATCTGTGATGCTGATTATCCATGCTGCTGATCTCATGCTGCTGATCTCATGCTGCTGTATTCATTCATACTCATCTGCTCACCACAGACTCATGTTCGGGCTGCTGTTGTGACGCCATGTTGTTTTGCATTATCAGTGTTTAGCGTATATCTTAGATCCTTACTGTTTCTTTTTACACTTTTTATTTTTGCTATTTTTGGGTGTAACTTGGTACATAATTTCGTTCCGCCTCATGTACCACATGTGGTGTGAACAATAAACCTACTTGAACTTGAATCTTGGTCTATTTAACAATTTGTGTTAAATTGTAGCATGATTCAGATTAGTGCTACAATCTGTAGAACAATATCTGCCACAGAAGCTAATATCTAGGAAAGAATGAATTTAGCTGGTAAGAGGCTTGCAAAGCACACTGGGAGATGTAGTTACTCAGTAAAAATGGTTTTATTCTGGTGAATTTAGGGTCTGGAGGCCAACTGACCAAGAAAGATACTTAGATTTTGTTTTTCAAACTCATGATAGTTCTGGTTTTCTTTTGCTCCTGGTTGAGTGAATCCTGGTTGGATCATAATGAAATGTATATTTTTGGAATTTGTGAGATCTCTGCTTTCAGCAGACATGCTGGTTGTGTGTGAACATCGTGGTGAACATCTGAGACCAAGTTTTGCGGTTATGCCATTTTGTGGAGGAGATTGTTTAATTGCTGATTCAACTGCTTGTAGTTTAAATTGTGTTTGGAGATCAAAGAAATGTTTGTTGTTTTCAACCAGTTTGACAGGACTGTCAACAAGGACGAGGGCCGGTCCAGTCTGACACGACTGTCCAGATGTGTCCAGATGACCTGACTGAAAAATGTTGGAGAATCTTCTTGTGTTTGACAGCAGATATAGCACTGTTTCTTAGAAACCTTCAGTTTAAAAAAAGAGCTGACGTAACTCACCTAAAGAGCAGCAAACAGTTGTGCTCTAGAAATGCCTATTCTC